GCAACTTTTGGAATGTTAATGATATGCGATATTAGTGCGTTGTATTACAAACGGACAGTTCGGGAGCGCAATTATTCAGTTTATTTTATGTTGCAAGGCGAAGAGGCTCGAATTGCGAGTGACGAAGATAAGGCTGCTAGAAAAAAACAATATTTAGCTGAAAGGAATGCTTCAAGAATTTATTTGTTGAATGAGGACCCGACATGGCGAGGCTATTTGTCGTCGCTACAGACGCTACTTTCTAGCTTGTCCTACAATTACAAATATATAAAGTTTTAAATAACGGTTTATTTACAAGCTTCGCTTTATATCTTCTTCAAAATATAATAATATTTTCTTTAAAATATAATATAAAATAAGCATATTCATCACAGCCGGTCGAGAGAGACGAAAATAAGAAAATTAAAACGACACATACGTCATGTAAAGGTTATGTAATTAACGTAAACAAACATTGTTATGCGCAGAACGTATGCGCAGAATGTATGCGCAGAATGTATGCGCAGAACAGACTTTACATCATCTTTAAACGAAGGCAGTCTGTACTTTCAACATTCTTTTATACGAAGGATTACAACTTTATTACTCTGGCGTGAGCGACTGAGTTGAAAATAGCCTTTGTTTTTTTTTTGTTTTTTTTTGTTTTTTTTGTGGGGAACAGCTTTGGCTAATTTTCCGATGCGCGATTTGATTTCGCTCGCATGATACGGCAATCCTTCCAAGAGGAACAAATAAACCGTTCTTTTAAAATCGGGGTCGGTATATATTTAATACAGGTAGATTCTGGTCCCACTTTAATAATATTGCTGCTATATTTCCCCCGTTTAACAAGTGGTCGTGCATGGGTGCGTTGACACGTAGCAGTTTGTAGAGGATTGAAGATATAATATAACTATGTAAGCGCGAATTCCAAAGTGTAAGACTAAGTGAACGTATCATGCAGTTTATTTACATTTTTGAAGTACCTTCTATACCTAAGTGCTTCTGAATTTTGCGATCGAACAACATTTAGATTCGCAAGGCATATAAAAGATTATTTACTGTATTGTTTATGTTCAGAAGCTTTGTATTGAAGACTGGCGCGTGCGCCGGAGTTAACGGCAGAACAGGCGTCTTGTTACTAATAAATTGCCATTTTCGTTCTAAGCATAGTTTGGCAAGAAGACTATTGCAGAGAGTTACCTTTCTAGTTGGCCTTTCATCATCAACTCTTGAGAATAATTCTGAAAATTTTACTTCTGTGCCCTTGCTCTGTTGTGTTATGGATTCCCCAAGTTCTGCTGCAGCACCAACTACGGCTTCTGGAGTATTATAGCTTTCATATAGTTTGTCGCCAATGTGCAGGATTATCTCATCCGGCGTAGTAAATAAGGTTGGTCTGGCATAATGAGACATATCAGCTGTTGTAGCACCTGGAAATGTCCAAAGATTGTAGAATCTTTCGTTTTACCCCGCTCTGGAGCTGTCTAGGGTTGATATGCTTAATCATTGAGTCACCGAGAACAGTCACTCTTGAGCGTATTTTCGGCTGATTTGTTCTCTGAGAGTCATCATGTCTTCGCACTAGGCTCTCATTTCTAGATGCATTATTCCGTTCAGAACCTTGTGAATTTATTGGCATCTTCCGCTGCGTGTCGTTGCCTTTCTGCAGTTGTTTGCCGTGGAGTTGCACGTCGGTGGCTGTATACTGTTTACGTGGATCTGTAATTTTGTTTTATCGACTTACATGTTGACTTTGTTCAGGGCCATATGATTTGGTTACCGATTGTAACTCTTGCGTATTGGTGTCAACTTCAATACTAATGCCCATTGCCTGTAATCGTTTTGTATTAGTTTTGTGGCCATCAACAAACTTGATTTCCCATCCTCGAGATGTTTATTTATCGATGCCTAAATCCTGCCTTTCTTTCAGTAATTGCGTCTTCTAGAACCACGATGGTATAACGTTGTTTTCTTTGATGAGGTCTATTTCAACAGCGAGCTCGAAATTGTCTAATTTATTTGTCACGTCTTTGGCAGATCTATCAAATTTCGATGTCTTGACTATAGCTAGTGCTTAGTTCTCCCAAAGGATTTTGTTCCTTTGTTTTCTTAAATATGCAAGAATATTGATATTGTTCGGGTTTGCACCATAGTTCAGCTAAAATGACTTTTGGCATTGTAAATGAAGGATTAAGAGCAATTTTCAATTCCCAGAGGTGCTTATCTATTGTGCTTTAGAGCTGTATTAATGTTCTGCATATTTAAGTGGTTGCTTTTTTTTTGGACACCCTGTACATTAGAATTTCAGTGACTGTGCAACTAATTACTTCAGGATTATCAAAACAAGCACACAAAGTGAATTAAACTTATGAGTTCGATTACGAATGGCTCAGTTAAGAACAGAACTAAGAGAATTTCTTGTTTTAAACGTATACGAGCAAACTCAACCTCCGTCTAAAGTCGTGTTTATTGGAAAATTAAGCACATAAGACAAGGGTACGCAAAACACAATGGTTAGGGAGCGTTAGTAAACATGATGGATCGTAGGCGAAGAAAATTGTGTGTACCAAACAAATTAAAGTACATTTTTATTTACATTTATTTACAAATTTATTGATATCGTCCTTCAACATGTCCACTATTTCGTTCAACGCACAGCAATGTTCTTCGATGCATGTCACGCACTTCTTTGCCCTTATCTCCTCGGAAGTATATATACTTGCATTTCGAATTCTAAGTAATTGTCAACACTTTGCTTTCAAATGACCATTTACCACCGCTCGGCGAGCGCCATACATTATTTTCAACTGTATTTGCATTAATATTAGCTCACATCCTTTACGAATCCCAGCGCGATGAGTGTGTGCCATAAGCAATTTTATGGATGATGCAGTAAAATATGTTTGTACGCAAAAATGATATTTATTAAACTTATTAATTTTACAATTTACCAAAAATGATAACAATATTCAAATGTGCATCTTAAGCAGCATGACCTTCGACATGTCCCCTTTCCCTAGTAACAGAAAGCATTTAGCATCTTATAAGTTGCATTAAATCCCCACGGGCTAAAATTCGTGAACACGGCATTCAAATTTTAACAATTAGTGATTTCAATAGTTTTCTTTAGACACCCTGTAGAGTTAACAAGTTCTTATCCACTCATATTATACATATTCTCACGTCATGCATGCACAGAAACCCATACAGCAAAAGAAGGTGTTCGTGAAGGAAAAAGTATTTTCGGAAAACTTGAATAAGTGCAGTTTGCCCAATGGATTTGAGGTGCGAGGGTAGACTGGAAAAAAGTTATATTTGCGCCCTTTCACAGGTTCACAAGAAGTAAATATTTTTACTCAGTTTTTCCAAGACTTGCGTGTCAAGTAGCCGTTTAATTACCCCTTTTGATAATTTAATAATTAGGGGCGGATCTAGACCGGTGCATCCGATACGAATGCATCGGTCAGATTTTTCAAAGTGTCAGAGTCAAAGTCTCAAACCTTCTGAAAATATAAAACTTTCAAACTATAGCGAAAATAAAAGTTAGGTGTGCCTAAATGGTTTTAAATAATATTTAAATCTTTTTGCGAGAAAAAATCGCCGAATAGCCTGCTTTTAACAACGCCTTCTCTTTGGGCAGTAGCTGCCGTCAAAAAATCGTATAATAATATGAAAGCGTTTGAATTGTCACGCCAAAAATATCTGTGGAAATCTGACGCGGGATATATCCGATATATCCAGTGGATATATCTCATAATATATTTGTCATTTATAGACCTGGAGCGAGGGGAATTCGACGAAATATTACCCCCAAGGGAAGATATATCCCGAGGGCTTCGCCCGAGGGATTAATCTTCCCGAGGGGGTAATATTTCGTCGAATTCCCCGAGCAGAAGGTCTATAAATTATATATGATATCGAAACAATGTGTGGATGAAATGGCTAGTCTTTTGCCTCCATTTTGAAATTGTTGACAACCTCGAGTCGTGTGCGAGGCATCCACGCGTGGTACACGCAAACTCGAATACCCCGCTGCAGACTTTTATAGCATAATGTGAAAAAATTCGATGGAACTCCATGATCAATTTACTGATCACGTGGTACAAATCGAGCTTTCTGATTGGATGATTTACAGTTGAGATATAATATATGTATAAATATGCCTAGAGGAATGCCTAGAGGTCAGTGAACTGTCTGTGGTCGACGTCACAGTGGCTGGCGATACATCGGTTGATGCACCGGTGCATCGCTAGCCAGCCACTGTGACATCACAAATCTATTGTTTTGGGGCCTTTTTTAAGCTGCTGACCGGTGCATCTCAGCCACTGTGACGTCGTATTTTGTTCATTGCCATGATGCTGTATCATGGCGGCAAGTAAAGATATGCAAATATCGATGCAAATGAGTGCGATCTTTGCTCTTTGTTGGAACACAATAAGCTGTCCGATATTGAGGCAGTACGGCGTGGTGCTGAGTTTCCACTCTCCTGTCGAAATCGAAGGTTTCGAATCCCTTTAAAATTGGCAAAGTTGAAAGAGATATTGCCAGTGAATTATATATATTCCGAAGCATATCACCGGGAGCACTTGCAGAATACCCCACCACACCAATCCTTCCACGCCTACCCGTCTACGCGTCCACTCATCAACCCGTCCACGCGTCAAGTTGTCTACGTGCCACCCGTCTGCGCGTCACCCGTCTGCACGTCACCCGTCTACGCGTCAACCCGTCACCCGCCAACCCGTCTACGCGTCAACCCGTCTACGCGTCAACCCGTTTACGCGTCAACCCGTCTACGCGTCAACCCGTCTACGCATCAACCCGTGTACGTGTCACCCGTGTACGTGTCAACGCGTCAACCCGTCTACGTGTCAACCCGTCTACGCGTCAACCCGTCTACGCGTCAACCCGTCCACGTGACAACCCGTCTACCCGGCAACCGGTCTACGCCAACCCATCAACGCCAACGCCATAGCTCCGTTCCGATTGATTTAAATTTACTTTAAATATGGATAAAGTGTTAGCGATTCCTACGAATAAGTTCGTCTTCTCGAAAGACAAACTATCCTGGACAGGGAATCTGGACGAATTAAAAGCACTCGTTAGCACAGTTGTTGATAAGGAGGCTTTAGAACAAGCCTTTTGGAAATCGCCCAGTGGTGGTACTTGGAAGTTTACGAGCGAGCAGCTTCTCGTCACTTGGTATTCTAAAAGCAAGTCAATTTATTTCAAAGGTTCGAGAGCAAGTGAACTATTATCGCTGATTCAGGATCAACTATGTCCCTCTAGTGCTAATATTCCCGGCATTAACTGTTCAGATTGTAAAGCTACTAGAGTCGAGATGGCTGAAGCAAAGCTTGAAATTGCTATGCTTTGGGCAGTGGTGCATAAACTCGAAGACATTGTTAAGGCCAACCTGCCTTGTTCTGATATTGAACACTTGAAAGCTGAAATTAATTTGTTAAAGAATCAAAATGAAAGCATTAAAGAACTCCTAGAATATAGTCAAACTTCATGGGACCAGCCTCGTCAAACAAGTCCAAGGGAAACCGCAAACGAATCAAGTAATACGCCTATTTTCAATTATTTTGAGCCCCTCGCTAATGAGCCGAGTGAATATCAATCCGATATAAATCCTAGCGATCAAAGCAGTGTCACTGTCCCCGCTTCCTTCGATGATCAGATAGAAGAGTACCGCAACAATGAGAGACTAAAATGCATTGCATCCGGAACCTTCAATGCCCGTGAGAGGCCTGCTCTTGAGGATGACAATTCAGTTGTCGAAGTTTCGCCAGATAAGTCCGACGCTCGTCGCTCTATTCTAAATCGATCGACTCAAACGATTCGGAAGCATAAACGGCATAGGATCAAATCAGGAAAGAACCGATCGCATTGCCAGGCCACCGTTAAGCCAGCTAATGTTGGGGAGACTAGTTTGGAAATGGTCACGCAAACAGACACAGACCCAGCGACAAGTATGACTAACACGAAGAAAGAAATTTATATCATCGGCGACTCTATTGTAAAGAATATAGACGGACACCGACTATCAAGTAAGGCAAAGGTTCAGGTACGTTCTTTTCCAGGCTGTACTACATTAGACATGAAAGATCATGCCAAACCGATACTGAGAAAAAATCCAGCAGGGATAATTATCCATGTTGGGACCAATAATCTATGCGAAAATAAGTCAGCTAGGAAATGTCGTCATCCTGCTTCAAAAATCGCTATATCTGGTATAGTTGACAGGTCTGACGACTTGAAATCTGCTAGTAAAATTAGAGACGTTAATAAACATTTGGATCAAATGAGCAAACAAAACAAATGGGGATTTATCAATAATAGTAATATATTAGCCAGTGAGCATCTGAATCGTAGTCGTCTCCATTTGAATAAACGTGGAACAGCTCTTTTAGCTCTTAATTTTGTAAATTATATTAGAAAAGATTAGGATATTGCCGCGGGGAAATCAGATAAATTTGTGCCCGGTGGAACAACTCCTATGTCTCAAGCTTCGAATTTGAATTTTAACATAACAAATCGGGGCTTGGTTATGGCATCATTAAACATTAATAGCTTGTTACTGCATATTGATGAGCTCAAATTATTTTTGAGTACTTCTAAAATCGACATTTTAGCAATCAATGAAACCAAATTAGACTCTCATATTGAGAATAGGGAAATTCAACTACCGGGTTTTGAACTCGTGAGAAGGGATCGTGACCTGAACGGTAGGCATGGAGGTGGAATTTGCCTCTATGTACGATCCAACATTAATTATTTCATCCAACACGACTTAGAAGCTCCGACCCTTGAATATCTATGTATTGAAATTACTAAGCCAAGATCGAAGGCGTTTTTGGTCAGCACATGGTATAGGCCTCCGAGCTCCCCAAGTGAAGCGTTCCATGCATGCTTTTGAGAAAATTATAGGCAGGATTGATAGCAAGGATAAAGAGCATTATTTGCTCGGAGATATTAATTGTGACATGTTATCTCCTGAGGCGCATAGTACTTCTACCTTGATTGATTTATTCAATATATATGGATTAAGTCAGTTGATTGATGAACCAACAAGAGTAATCCCCAGCTCGCGAACATTAATTGACCTATGTGTCACTAATTGTCCTCAAAAATAGTCAATGCAGGTGTATTGCATCTTGGAATTAGTGATCACCCTTTGGTTTATTTTATTCGAAAAACACATTATCAGCAAACAACCGCACGTATCATCCAATCGCGGGTGTTTAAAAACTTTAATAAGAATGTTTTTCTTCGGGAGTTGAACGAAAAGCCCTGGTGTGAGGTTAACCCCAAAATTATCCGAATTGCATGTGTGATATCTGGAAATCACTTCTAATGGAAAGCATAGACAAACACGCACCTATTAGAAGCAGACGTGTTGGTAGAAAAAAAGCACCGTGGATTACCAATGAGTTGTTGAAGAAAATGTATGTGCGTAATTATCTTAAGAAACAGGCGGTCAACTTTAACGATGGGAAAAATATAAACGTTCTCGTAATCTGACTAATAATGCAATTAAGTATGCTAAACAGCAGTACTTCAGTTCAAACCTTGAACATAATAAAAATAATCCTCGTCAAACGTGGAAGCTTATTAATGAACTGACTTCCCGCACGTGTAGTAAGTCCCAAATTTCCGAAATTGAAGTTGGTGATCGTACTATTAAATCTTCCACGCATATAGCAGAAGCTTTTAATGAATATTTCAGCAATATTGGTCCTGACTTAGCTAGGGAAATTCCACAAACTAACATTAATCCGGAAATATATTTAGAACCAACTACCAAATCTTTTAGTCTTGACGCCCCTTCTGAACAAACAGTATGTCTACTGTTAAGTAAACTTAATGAAAAAAAAGGCTATGGGTCTTGATAAAATTCCAGCTAGGCTCCTAAAAATTGCGGCTTTTGTTGTTGGTCCCTCGCTTACCAACATATTTGAGCGATCGATTGTTACCGGAATATATCCAACAGAATGGAAACTCGCGCGGGTGTTACCAGTGTTTAAAAAAGGCAGGAAATCTGACCAGAGCAATTATCGACAAATTTCAATATTACCAATTGTCTCAAAAGTTTTTGAAAAAATGGTTTATGATCAGCTCTTTGGCTATTTAAATGAGAATAATTTATTAAGTAGCTGCCAATCTGGCTTTCGTTCGCTCCATAGTACAGTAACAGCTTTACTTAAGGCCACTAATGAATGGTCGGTGAATATAGACAAAGGTCTTCTTAATGGAGTAATATTTATTGACCTGAAGAAGGACTTTTGACCATGATATTTTATTGCGTAAATTAGTAAACTATGGTGTTGACCAGAATGCCCTAAGGTGGTTTAATTCATATCTCAGTGGCCGAACCCAAAAATGTGATGTCAACGGCAGTTTATCTGGTCTTGGCGCAATTAATTGTGGCGAGCCCCAAGGTAGTATTATTGGTCCTTTGCTATTTTTAATTTACATAAATGATCTACCAAATTGTCTTCGATCAGCCTCTGCCAATTTATTTGCTGATGATACTAATATTAGCCTCTCGGCACGTAACCTACCTGAACTTGAGCCCCTAGTCAATTCAGAACTTGCTAATCTCAAAACTTGGTTGATTGCAAATAAACTTAGTTTGAATAATTATAGCTAAAACCAAATTTATGGTTATTGGCTCGAGGCAAAAAATATCTGCCGATAACCACAGTACAATTTGTATTCAAATTGGCGATCAGACGATCCAGCGGGTTGGTCACACTATTTCCCTTGGCCTGACCATCGATGACCGCCTTTCTTGGTCCAATCATGTTGATGAATTATGTAAAAAAAATTCGTCAGGGATCGGGGCTTTGAAAAGAATTAGATCTTGTGTCCCTTTACACTCTGCTGTGCTAATTCATAATGCTTTAATATTGCCATATTTTGATTATTGTTCTCAAGCTTGGAATGGTCTAAGCAATCAACTTAGCGATAAACTACAAAAACTGCAAAATCGTGCAGCCAGAGTAATTATGAGAGCCAGTTATGATATAAGGTCTAGTGAACTTCTTTACATGTTGCAATGGGATATGCTTAATATTCGTCGCAAGAAACAAAAAGCTATTGTAATGTTTAAATCTTTAAACAACTTAGCTCCTGATTATATGCGAAATATGTTTGTTCCACGGAGCACAGGTTATACATTAAGAAACTCGGTTAGACAAGTTGATCTACCGATGCCCCATACTGACTACTTAAAACGTAGTTTTAGTTATAGCGGGGCTTGTTTATGGAATAATCTTCCAGAGAATGTTCGGAAAATTACCTCTCTGCAACAATTTAAATCCGAACTTGACAAATTCTTTTGAATATCTGATTTCCACACGGCAATCATGTAAAACAGTAATTTGTGTTATTATTGTGTGCTTTGTTCTTTGTATGGCTAAAAGTTTTTAGATATTTCTCTTTATTTTTTGTTGTATATATATAATATTACTGATGATTCTACCGTGTATAAATAAATTTTTAATAATAATAATAATAAAAAAACCCTACTTTAACCCAATATAAATATATCCTCAATCATGCACTTTATTCTCAACATTGTAATAGAAAGGTGGAAAATTTAGCTTTTTAATGACCAACATCGTAAATTTTTTTACATCGTTTAAAAAAGAAATGAACAAATCATCACCTTTATGAATGTGACGCCAAATAAATTCGGCTAGATGACTGGAATGTTGCCCTTGTCTGACTTCGAATGTTGGTAAATTGGCCTTTGCCAACCTCCAAAGTCCCTCGACTTTGTTGGTGTGCTGTCCGTCTTTGTTTACGAACTCAACAGAATGATTGACAGTGGCGTGTTTGTATCCATGTTTTTCCAGATTATTGTACGACTTCCAACAATCTGAAATAATCAGCGTGCCAGGCTCAACCCACTGTTGAATAATAGGCAGAAGAACGGCCTCTGATCGACACTCCACTGCAACCATAAAACACTTCTTAGAGTCTTGCTCTATACCACCAAATACCAATTGCCCTTTCACGGCGTGGCCCCTGTGGTACTTCATTTTTCCAAACAAACTTTCGTCAATCTGGACAACTTTTCCCTCACCCCCTATTTTACAACTCTCGCGCATGATGGTTACTTCGCAAACTTCGCAGCAAAATGAGTCCCAATCAACAGCGGTGTGGGTAGCTAACGACAACTGCTGCATAATTTGTTCTTGTTGTAACTTAACTGACCACCAGTAGGTAAATTTAAGAACTTCTTCCATACTCATATTTGATTTTTCGAACCAACTATTCCTTCTTATACTTGCTTCTTTGTAATGATTCTTTTTTCCAAATTTTTTACGACACATCCATTTGTAGCCGTCCTTCCGATCAACACATTTTACCCACCTCATCATATTCCCACATTCGTCGCAGCTGCGTTCCTCAAGTATTAATTTCTCTTGTTTCAACCAGTTGAGCATATATTCTTTGTTGCACAGGATCTGATCTTTAAGGAAATCGTATGTCGTGAAATTTCGCTTCGCCCCTCTAGCTTCGCGATCGTAACTTTCTAATGTCGGTGCCACAGTTTGTGTTTCCTTTTCGAACCTAGCAGACTCCGCCGAGCCAGCTTGACACCCGATGTTTATTATCATCTTTATTAGGGTCAATTAAACATATTTTTACAAAGAAACATATAAAATATTCAATTAAAAAACTACTCCTAAAATATAGACCCTAAAAGGGCAAGGTATAAACGGGACTCGAGGAACCATGCAAGATACCTTCCCAAACTTTACTAAATCATTACTATCATTACACACACAACACTACACACACCCAGTACAATACAATTTAAGTCCTATGACACGAGCAGTCACGAACCAAGGACCACGTACATGACAAGTCAACATCATAAATAGAATCAACAATACTAAAGTATCTATACGTTTAACTAAACATTTAAAAGAACTAGGACTAGACACAGTGTCTAAACATATATCTTTACATACAGTGTTCCACAGTTTCACGACACGATTATAATACGAAGATTGATAAGTGCTTGTTCTAGAGATTTGACATTTTAGAATGTACTTTGAGGTGTTACTCAGCCGAGTTCGACCATGACTGACAAACGAGATACAATTACTGACATGCATCAACATTCACATAACCAAACAGAGCCTTGTGCAGAAACACCAAGTCTTTCACCTCCCTATCGAAGGTTAACGGCAGAAGGTCCAGGGCCAACAGACGTTCTTTGTAACTCAACTCTCCTCTTTTTGTCATCATGATCCGACGAGATGGACGTTGCACTTTTTCAACCTGCTTTGAGAGTTGAATGTTATTTACGGGCGACCAAACTTCCGTTCCGTAGCATAGTTGAGATTTTACATGAGTCAGATAAAGAGTACGCCTAGCTTTCATGTCTGTCAGTTGGGTACGAGTTCGTTTCAGTACACCTAACATTTTGTTCGCCTTGGAAATGACAGAATTGATTTGAAGTTCCCATGAAAGTACTGAGGACGTGATGATGCCAAGATCCTTTTCACTGTCAACTCGAATCAGACTTTCTGTTCCCAGTTTATAATCATAAGTGATAGGATTTTTCTTCCGTGTAATAGTGAGTACTTTGCATTTAGAAGTATTGAAACTCATGTTGTTATTTACACCCCAGCAATTCAGATTTATTAATGATTGTTGTAAACATTTGCAGTCGTCAGTAGAAGTAATTGTGCTGTGCAATTTAGCGTCATCAGCATACAGAGCTGTTTCAGTTCCATTTTGTACAACATCTGGAAGATCGTTAATGAAGATGAGAAACAATAACGGGCCGAGAATACTTCCTTGGGGTACTCCAGAGGTTACTGCTGTCCATGTCGAGGCCACACCATCTATAACGACTCTCTGTGTCCTACCATTTAAATAGTCTGCGAACCAACCCAGAATTGGCCCTGAAACACCGTAACCATGTAGTTTCTCGAGAACTATTGCATGATCCACGGAATCGAAAGCCTTAGCGAAATCGAGATACAAGACGTCAGTCTGAGTATTCTTATCTAGATTATGCCCAATAATGTGGAGTACTGATAGCAGTTGGGTCACACACGAGCGTTTTCGAAGAAAACCATGTTGAGCTTGGCTAATGTGATGTAGAATGTGGTCGTGAAATCTAAAGTACACACAGCGTTCCAAGACTTTACTGACGATTGATAATAATGAAATGGGCTGATAGTTTTCCGCTGGCTTCTTCGAATCTTTCTTATGGATCGGTGCAACGTCTGCTGATTTCCACTCAGAAAGAATCGAACTAGATTGTAGAGAGAGGTTGAAGAGAGAACAAAGACTCGGGGCGATTTGTTGGCTGCATTCTTGTAAAAGACGCGCAAGAATTCCATCGGGACCACTTGCTTTGGATGTATCAAGATTTTCCAGACAATTAGCAACGTCGTGTTCACTAAGTTCTATTTTCCGTAGTTGAGCATCCGTTTGTAATGGCGAAGAAGAGAATATGGAGGCTTGATGTTGATTTTGTCTTAAAGGTTGAAACACAGAAGAGAAATAAGAAATAAGAAATAAGGTTAACGGCAGAAGGTCCAGGGCCAACAGACGTTCTTTGTAACTCAACTCTCCTCTTTTTGTCATCATGATCCATCTCGTCGCTTTCTCTTTCTCCTTTGTTTCACCGTATACATGTTCCTCAAAAGTACAAATTACTCAAAACCTCCCCAATATCAAAACCTTGCAGTATTTAATATACGCCTTATTTAATAACAAGATAATGCATGACAATTACTCAGTACAACCATTTCGTGTGTTGTGAACAATGGAAGGACTGATTAATAAAATATCATAGAGACACTACAGGGTGTATAAAAAAAAACGCAACCACTTAATATTCTAAAATTCATATTGTTCATAAGCTCCGACGGGTTTTTATTGCTTTACCTGGAACGGCGGTTCCATGACCGCTGTGTGCAGAGCGCAAAAACTGATCACCTATTCGAACGCCCAGAAAGATATAGCGACTTTGGTAAGACTTTAACAGCATGAGCTCCACCTTTGAATTTACTATATGACTAAATTCTTAAGCACGTCCGAATTTATCAAAATGACAAATTCGCGGCAACTAACACCCTAACCCTAACCCTAACCCTAACCCCACCCCTTACCTAGCCTTTGGCCCTAACCCCCGTGTTCCTAACCTTTGGCCCTAAACCGATGTGGCCCTAATCCGTTTCGGCCCATGATCTCCCCAATCTAAAGTCAGCAACTTTTTTTTTAATATCTTTGTATATATCGACCTTTTTTTGCATATCGATAACACAACATTTGTGAATTTGCCACTTCATACACGCGTGCGTTTATTGCAGTGCGTTTACTGCACTGTATATAGTAATTATTCAGTTGGAATATATTTATTTCTAATAAAGTTATCATTGTGTTTAGCCTGACTGCACCTCTTCAATTTTTTCATTAATATAGCTCATTGATGACATCCTCAGCACATGCATAGACAAGGAAACCCCACAGCCACAACAGGACGAAATTAATGTTGCAATCCTACAAATTGCAGGACCTATTGTACCCTTTAGGGCGTTCAAACAATCAGGCCCAAGAAAGCTGAGAAGCGTAACCGTAGAAGAATTTAAACACAGCGCATTCACTTGTTCAAATTATGGAAAGCTCGTGTCTGTACGAGTCCCCCGCCAACCAAAACCATCTAACATTTTTTTTAAGAAGAACCCTACCACCATTACTACTCAGTGGACCAGTCTTATATCCGAGGAAACATACACTGAAAAGTTTCGCTTTCATCTGCATTCCTCTGTCGGACCAGGCTTAAAAAGAAGCCTGGTAAACGCGGGACAAGTTAACGACGACTTCTTCGCCTAACTTTTTCCATTGAATGCTTAAATCGAAAGTGTGTTATTATTCATATTATGCAATTTCCATTACATGTAATTTCTGTTATAATTAATAAATGTGGATTCATTGAGTACACTGAAAAGTTATTGTTCTAACGCTCGCTTGCGTAGTAATAATTGCAACTGTGCTAGTTTCCTATACAAGCACGGCACACACATGCACTGTATCGCTTAAAAATCCGAGTCATGTATGTTATGCACATTTATTCAACATACAAAGTTTAAATTTTGCGCAGCACATTTTACCTATACATAAGTACTATCTTAATAAAGAAACTTCCTTTAACATGCATCGTTTCTCCAAATGTACTTATGTAAAAATGTACAAACAAAAAAGAGAAGAAAACTATACAAAAAAGGAACAAGTACATTGATGAGTATATAAGTCTACATATTCTCGAATTTTAGTCACTTTTAAAAATTACCTTTCTTGACTTTGAAAATGTGCCTACACGTCTACGCGTTAACGCGTACGTTAGAGACCTTTAGTTTGACGTTTACGGCAAACGCCAAACCGCTAACAAAGTTTGTGTTTTAACTCCACTATCTTTAAGCGTGCGGCAATTTCGCAAAATTACAAACGTTCTGTATAAAACTTGTGATGTTCAGCAGCAATGTAAAAAAGCAATAGGCTATTTCTGATGTATTTAGAAAAGCAGCAAATTCAGCTTTGCCGTATATGTTTCACGTTCGCCGTATAAAATTCAATGCCTGAACGGCTGAGGGTGTATGCAGTCGTTCAAGCATTAAATTTTATACGGCGAACGTGAAACGCATACGGCAAAGCTGAATTTGCTGCTTTTCTAAATACATTAGAAATAACCTATTGCTTTCTTACATTGCTGCTGAACATCACAAGTTTTGTGTAGAACGTTTGTAATTTTGCGAAATTGCCGCACAATTATTATTAATTTAAAACTCTTTGTCAGCTGATCAGATGACCTTTAAAAATGGTTGGCTCACTTTAACTTGCATTTTCTGTGCAAATACTTGGCTGATTTTAATAAAAATTAAACCATTTAAAAGAGGACATTGTCCTCAGTAGATAGATGTTTTTTTTTAGTTCTATACGTTTCAAATTCGCTAGGATATTTGCTTTAGAATGCATGCGATTTGGCTAATTTTCGATATTATACCTCAAAGCGGCCTAATCCTTAGAATATTGCCCAAAACGCAAACAAAAACTGGTTACCGTGATTTAGTTCACATTTCTAGGATCATTTTGATATATTTAGCTTCAAAATGGTGCCTTTAGAAGATTTTTGCCGATTTTTTACATAAACATTCATAATCTGCATTATGGTATGTATTATCGCATCGCTCACGGAAAGCATTTCACAATAATAAAAAGATTCACCAAAAATTTCGGGCAAAAAAAGCTGAGAAACGGACCCCTTGGTCCAATTTTACGCCAGGAATCGATTTTTGGGGTCAAAATTTGCCTAGGGGGTGGGCATCACAGACTTTTGTCACATTTTTGAACCGCGTGACAACATTCCGAGCAAGCGCTAAACACGCGCTTAGCAACGCTCATCAAGGCTCATCGCTTAGCTCTTAAAATGGCTTATTTCTCCGATTCTCTAGCACATCCTAATCTAAAAATACATCTAAGTTATAACAGAATGAATAATAGGCAAAATTGAGACAGTCTAAAGCTAACAGAGAACAAAATAAATTGACAAACATGGAATTTTGAAAAGTATATGGTTGCCATGGCCGCCATAGTGCATTCCGTCAATTTTGCCCGCCACAGATTCCCGCCAGTAATTTTCTTGGGGAAAATTTGATCGCCGCATGACAGATTGAGTAGAAAATAAGAAATACACAATAATTATTACTTCACCGCCACAGCCCAGAAGGCTACAACTAGTGAATGGATACATAAAGAAAATTACTGCACTTACTACCAGTTACTAGTAAATATTAATATCATTATTGTAATATCAACGTTTTGAATTGGTTTTGCCCGTCGTATGACTGGAAAATTCTATATTTGAGCATAATTAATGGCTAAAAGCCTATTCAACATTAACAATTCATGTACTGCATCGAAAATATGTGGTCAACGACTCAACGCAATAATTAACATTCAGAAAACTGTCAAATCGTTCCAACAAATCGTATAACGAGCTCGATGGGTTCTAGTGTGGGTACTGTAGATTCTTTACCCAAATATTTTTTGGATGTAGTACAGCACATCATTAACCTTTACACATCTATGCCTTACAGTCCTGTCCATACACACACGTTAGTTTTGAACTTTTTAATTGCCGAATATATCATTTGCCTACATCTAATGGCCCATGGTAACTACAGCAAAAACGGCATTCGGACGTCACTTTCTTTAATTCTTTTGATGACTTTGCTAGTACTGTTTGCTTTCATAGCAGGTCGATCACACAACACGGGAGCTCGGTGTTTCTTCAAACCTTTCTCTTTATCACCATTAATGTAAAGATTAGCCACCTCTTTTATGATTCTCTCTCCCTGTAAGACATTGGGTAAACACCAGTCGAGTTTTGTACGAAGGGACAACGTCTCATTACTTTGGCCTCCTGGCTGCTGCTGCGATTTCATGGTTGAATAGTATGATTCCACAATAGATTCAGGACCTCCTTTAGCCAAGCCAATGTCGATTATGAGACAGACTTCTTTCCCACACATGGAATAAACCTCTTCTTCAGTATACAGCGATCTGTAGACTGCATCCTCGTTTAGTTTTACAACATGCTCTCTATCATCATCATGAAACACTGCAACAAAACATTTTTCAACAAACGGCTGGTTTTAAGATAGTTTAAACGACATAAGATTTCCACAGCTGTTGGGAAGTACTTCATCCAGAGGTTTCAATTTCAAGGTTCCTTTCTGTATTACGGAAAACCAATGTACCGCGATCCTTTTCATGTCCCATAGAATATTCTTTAGTGTTTGTTTCAGCCTTCGGTGGATTACATGACTCAGCCGGGAATCAATTTCTAACAATCCTTCTTCAACTGCGGCCGCAACATGCTTCTGAGAACATACATATTCCACAAATTTCTTGAAGTAAACTGTACCGAATTTTTCAAGTTCAACCTCCGAAATCGATGGCTTGCCATTTATCCGTTCTCCGACAAGTAAACAGAAGATACTTTCCAAATCGATAGCTGTCAAATATTTGCACATATCTGAAACGCAGTTCGTGTATCTGGATATAAGTGAATCAAGCAAATCAGCAATAAATTGATGTAGATCAACTTCACAATCTTCCACTTCTCTCGCCAGCCAGTTTTCCTCACCTTCCGTGTATGACTCAACCAACCAGCCGATCTTGAGAGGTTGATCTTTAAACTTGTTTTTCTCTATGATATCTTTGATATTAGTGTTGAGAATCTTCATAACTTCTGGTGGATTTTTGATACTAACAGTCTTGAGTTCCTCAAGAACCTTCTTCACAGCTGGCCACCAAACACATATCTTCCAACATGGACAGCTTAGCGCTTGAACCTTGACCATCAAAGCAATGACAATTCTCATAACATCGGTGATTGAACACAAATCGATGACAAAATCATCACCAAGGATCTCGTATTCTTTAACTTCACTGTAACCAAAAGCTCTGAACGCCTGTACGTAGGCAGCAAAACTTTCGATAATTATGTTAAACTCCTCGAACTGGGATGACCAGAATCTTGTGGTGCAGCTACCCTTGCTCATTCTCAGCTTTAAATGTTCCTGCTTAGAGAGATCAATTGCACTGCTTAACATCTTGCCGCGTTGGAACATGGTATGAATATTCTTTGCCCTTCTCACAATTCGCTTGAGGTAAGAGCTTGAAGACCCAACCTTTCCGTCACGGATATCAAGAATGGATAGATTTATCCAGTGCGATGGGTCCCAAACAATTGCTGAGAAAAGTGGATCAATTGGCGAATCTAGTTCTTTGTGCAAGGTCTGTTTAAATTCTTGCGCTTGATATTGACCATCACAGGAAGTCCCTTGCCATGCACTTTCTAGTGAAAAGTCTTCGCTATCTTCGTACGCTTCCTTGACTGTTTTTACAATTTGGCTAGCTAGCTGATCTGCACAACCACCCGACACACTTCCTGGATTGCAATCTTCTTTGGAACTGTAAACAACAGGGGAATTTACAGGAATGGCAACTCGTTTTCCATCAACCATGGGGCAAAGCATAATTGCCTGATTTGAAATTCTTTGCGGAGTACTTTTATCTGCTGTGATATAAAAATGTGGTGGAAATGATGTTGCTTGCAATGGCTTTGAAAGGTGTTTACCTGTCTGAGAATCAATCCAAACATTCATCGCAGAGAGTATCTCATTAAAGTGATTTCGGGAATGACACATGTCCCCTAGGTCACTACCAGTAGAGATATGTGAAGCAATCTCATTCTCATAATGCTGAGCAGCTGACTTAGATTTGATGACACTCCAGGCGATTCTAATTAGGTTTTCTGTGACTCTTACTCCTCTGGCTTTCCGTTTCTTTGCGGCAGCTTGGTGCTGAAGTGCCTCAAAATGCAGTTGGGAATGGTCACCAGTGCAACTTACATGCTGTTTTACACACCTTTTGATCTCGTACCAATACTGATTTCCACCTGTGATTACATTTTCTGTTTTCTCAGGTGAAAGAAGTAGGCCAGATGAAAGGGACCCAGAGTACTTTCCAATTCCTTGTAGTGCAATCTTTGTTGGGTTTTCAACTTTCTTTGAACTGTTCATTCTATCCATTAAGAGGATGTGGCATGCCTCACAGCGAATTACGGATGGGATGTTGTCAGATGAATCACCTGCATAGAATTGTATTTCAGATATTTTGTCAGTCAGATCAATTATGTTCTTTATATCCTTCCAATCGTTGGAATTCTGGGCCTGAAAGTCAAGCGCTGATTGTCGAAGAGTTGGCCTATCATCTTTTGAACCCACATTGGACAGCTTAAGTTCTTTCACTGTTTGAATCAAGTGATCCACTTTTAGATTCAAGGAGCCAAGTCTATGTTTAAGGCACCTTCGGAATTTGAAACATTAGTATATTTGCAATCAGTTTGGCTTTGATCTATCACATGACTGTTATTTGGACATCTCTTGCCGTGCACAAATTAAGATCAGTTGATTCTGTGCCCTTACACTGTTCTTGTGTTTTTTTGGAGGATGTGACATCGCTTTGTGCAGAATTAAAGACATGAAAAACCTTTTTTGACTCTGCAGGTATTAACAATTGATTTATGGATACTTTTGAGGGTTTCTTTGCATTCTTTGGGCTCTTATAATATAACTGACGAGCCTGCTCTAAATCACTTGCATGGCATTCAAAGTTATAAATTTGGATTTCGTTCAATGTTTTTTGAGGATGACGTCTTTTGACATGTCTCTCTTTTGTGCTAGGGTCTCGCCTAGACATCACAAATACGTTTGGATCTTCATTGTTGTGATAGCATTCCAAACAGATACAACGTGTTTCAATAGTTTTAGCACTAGATTTAACTTGTGTTGCTTGTGGAGCCTTGTGCTTAAGGTTTGTATTGGAAGGATATTTTATACACCAAGAAGTGGTCTTTTTTACAGGTGGCTCACCATTTTCACAGTTCTTGCATGTTACTTTGGATCCATAGCCTTCATCACTGTCAGTCAATTTGCTACCACAAATAGCATGTACTGGATTTTTACAAACATAACATTCATGTGCTCCAGTGCTTTCCTTGTTACAAACACAGCAGGTTTTGTGAATATTCTCTAACTTTTCCTAAAATAATGCCAGATTGCGTGAAGTAACTTTTTTAGTTTCTATAGCAGTAAGCGGCTAAGCGCAAATCCTGTGCAATGCAATGCAAATTAATGCAATTATGCAATCCTATGCAATGCAAAATTGAAAGTTGAATAATGAATACACGTATTAAATTAATTGATGTAAATTACAAAATAATGACTATGTCTATGATTACCATAACTTTTCATTTGCATTTCAAAGTTCTTTAAGTTCAGACTTGTCAAGTGTCAACTTGAAACTTTGCATAACTTTGCATTAATCATTATTGTGTATTTGTGTAAATTGTGTTGACTGTTGTCACCATGTTTCCACTTGGAGAAAATTTCTTTGCAAAAGAAATTTAATTCCTTGACTTTCATTTGACGGATTTTTAAAAGTTTTAAACTATAAAATTCTTCTAGTTCGAACTGTAAAAGTCGAACTGTAAAAGTCTTCTATTTACAATTACACTGTCCAAGATAAATATATTTGTATAAAATATTAAGTAAATATTTAAGATTCGCAAAATATGAAAAGTTTTCCGCTACGCTGCCAATCCGCCATCTGCGCCATGGAAGCTTGTTTTTTTTTTCTCCCGCCAAATGTTCATAATTGCCGCCAAATTTTCCTTGGCGGGAGTTTCATGGTAGAGCTGCCCACCACAGATCTGTGGCGGGAGACCCCTAGAATGCACTATGGGCCATGGGCATGTAATTTGAGATAACAACGCAAGCTACTATTTTGGCTTATATTACAAGTGCGGCTTAAAACTATCCGCGGATTTGAATATAGCATTTATATGATCTCTTCAAGCGCTATCGTTTGGTGGTATTCCGGTATCTTTAGCTTAAATACTTGCGGAGATATTCAATTTAAGCTAGGGTCCCTTCTATGACACCCAAACATTAGGACCTGTCCATAAATAAGGAGAGTGGAGTTAAAACACAAACTTTGTTAGCGGTTTGGCGTTTGCCGTAAACGTCAAACTAAAGGTCTCTGTTGTCACTCACTTACGCGTAGCCAAAACCTGTCTACGCCTATACTAATAATCGGTGAGGGGTATTCTGCAATCTAGCCTATCACCGAAACGTGACAGCGTGGGGAACACCGAGCTCTAAAGTGAGTCTAAAGTGAGTATTTGTTTACATTACTGTCAGTACTTGGGTAGTTTGGTTATTTTGGTATCCTAGTATTATTGACTATTAATTGGAGTAATGATAATAAATAAAGAATAATATTCTAATTTTGCCAACATACGCGCCTCGTCGGCTATCAGCTCATATATATACGACTCGAGTTCGCAGAATAACTGTTAATTGTTGTACATATGATATGATTCATATTCTGATATATGTAGAGGGCAGTCAACAGTGTGGTATATTTTTAGTTCTAGGCACAGGCTCGCAGCTGCTCAAATCTAGTTACATTAGATATTTCTCAAAAGCATTAAATAAACAAAAATATATAGTATAATTAAATATATATTGCTGTTAATTATAACAACTAACACTCTATTTATTATGCTTAGAATGGCAAAGTTATAAATTGTCATTCTCAATTATATAATATCAATATTGAATTCATATTAATATTTTGAAATAGAATCATATCATGGTAAGAACCCAGAAGGTTGTAGCAATATTGACATTTGACAATAATTGACTTGTCCTTAGTCACGGTGATTATAAATTTACTGTCAAGGACCATACAGCCATATAAATGAACATTAGAACAACTTATGTCCTTTAAGTAATATTATTAAACTTATGTCTTTTTTAAACACTATCATAATAACTGTTGAAGGTTTATGTTCAAACTATTATATGTGTTTTTGATGTTGTTAATAATTAAAGAATATCGCAGATAATTTAAATTGTGCATGTTCCTTAAATGATCTTAATCCTTAGAATTTTATGATGGTATATAATATATAATGCATTTTATGCATTTAGGACCAAAGGCAATGGACCTTGTCTATATAGGGCTTGTTCCAAGTTACTTTGTGGCAAAGTGGATCTTTGTTATTTATGGAGAGACCTCACCAGCATTGGAGAGACCTTACTAGCATTGAGCTCTTTAATAATCAGGAGTTTTATGCATTGTTTTGGTAAAAAATTGTTATTCCAAATGTTGTTGGGTGCTTTTTGAAAGTGAGATGATTGGCAATGTTGCAAGGTTGAAGATTTTTGATTTATAACAGTTGAAGTGAGTCTGTAATAGGAATTGTGGAATGTAAATTGTTATGGTTTGAAAATTATAATTTTAATATGGTACGAATCTGTTTGTTTGTTTATTTTGCAAAACCTGGGTGCAATGTGGATATGTATGTAATGCTATGGCTAGAATGAAAGCCCGTTATTGCCATTCTGGTCAAGTCCCTTTAGTTTGTTTTTCGTTCAAAACTGTAGTTATGTCTCATCAGGCTCCAAGCATAACTCGTGGTAATGAGTAGAGATTGTGTGAGGTGAACTCGTGATTCGTGGTTGTCGCTGAGATCGGTGATGATGATATCCAGATAAGAGCATGCTGTTTGTCCGTGCATGTGTGGTTGACTGTTTGCGCGAAACAACAGTGGTTTTTTCTTCATTTTATTCGTGTATTTTTTGCAAACTATTCGCTCAAAACGCAGGAAATCGCATTTGCGGGATCCTAGATTTCAAAATTTCCCAGGAGAGAATGGACGCCCCCCGGACGCCCCTTTCCATGCGAGACTCAGGGCGATGCGCCGGTCAGAGAATATCGTCGATCCGCCCCTGATTTAATAATTTATTTATTTATTTACTCTGTCTCTGAGTCTTCAAATTAGGACGTCTTTCTATTTTTTTTCTTTAAAGGACAAAATACCTAACGATTAGAAATCAGTGCAGTCTATCCTTTTATGTGTCAATGCTGTTAGCTGTTCCACATTGTAATATCCCAATTTGCAAAAGAAAATCATGGCGTTAAATTCGTTCACCATTCTATAACATATTTAAAATATTAGACTAGCAATTATAAACTTTGAGACTATGATGGTGTTTGAAATGGAATATTGTGAGCCAACAAGAGTGGGTTCCAACTTAACACGTTCCAGAGTTAAAATGGCAGATGAAGAAATCATCTAAAACAACGACCTAAAATATTTTGAGGTATTAACTTGGCTACCTTGTAGAACGGTGCACTTACTTGTTTTGCACAAAACATCGCTTTATTTATATAAATCGTCGTAAAATTAGGGCAAGAAATTGCTCATAATTAAATCAGTTTAATAAATTATAACTAATTAATCAATTTAACATGATCAACTTATTACACTTACTTATTACTATTACTCTTACGTTTACGCTAATTAAGATTAATTATCCTAGATTTTACTTAATTAAGAAATCAATATTGTTAAATGTTAATCAACATTAATTAACATGAGTTACACGAATACTGAATCTTTATACCCTGTTATTTTTTCTCTTTTTCCCCCTTTTTCCTAACTTCACTCCCTTCATGTGATGTGCGTAAACTTGATACGCTGATTTCAAGCCACTTTCCAAAGCTCCTTGAATCCAGCCAGTCGTAAATGATATGTTTTCGCCAGCAAAATGCACATTTCCCATTGGTTCCCACAAATGCCTGTTAGTTGAAAATAATACATTCTTATTTTTCGTATATTTGGGGTGCTTACCATTTATACCTTTGGAAAATTAGAAAGTCCCGCCGGAAAAGCAAATTATTGAAAAGCAAGTTTTATCGGAAAGTTCGGAAATTTCCTGTACCATTTTTCCTTCTTCATTAACACCGTGATTAAGCACCTAAACTCCTCATATTCCCTAAAACACTTGACACAGCTTGGCGTAAAGAGCGGGTTAGCGCTGAGATTCCATGGTAACACAGATTCGGAGAGCAAGAATTATCCGCCGCAAATTATTTCCCATGCAGGCGGGAAATCATCCCTCGGACCGTTTCGAGCAAAAAACTTAGTTGTTCTTATCCTTATGTCCTAAACAAACTAACGGGGGAAAATGCAAAGGATGCAGTCCGATTGTTTTTTAAAATTCTTCCTACACTTTTTCTGGCGTTTCTGCGTGGTAAGGCCGGTTTCCAGCCAAGAAAAAAATTCCTATCGTAGAGAAAAGTTTCATTTATCCATGTGTTCTCAACCAAAACTAATTGTTTTAAGCACAAGCACCGATCCGGTGTCCCAGCGGATTTGGACTCCCTAAAAATGGACTCACCGGTACATATCCACTAGAAAATTTTCCTGAGTGGAAACCAGCCATTACCGATTGTTTGGCAATGATTATTTATCGACTTGTACCAACTATATTTACCATAAGGGAGACCATCCTCCCCAGCTAAATTAAAGTCTGTGTAAAATTCGTATGCCAATCACATACCTCATATGGTGGTATTGACCGGGTTTCAAGAGGCTATAGGCACCTTGATAAGAGGGTTGGTTGTACCAAGCATGGACAATACATTTTTCAACTGCTCCTTCTTCTTTGATCTCAGGGTGAATTTCTCCTACTTGTTTAATGGCCTCTTTCTCTGCCTGCTCTTTGGTCAGGGAACCAAAAAGCAGGGCTTCATTTTTCCAGGTGTAAATCAGAATTATTCCTTGCTTGGTGGACGCGAGATATTCTGGATCCGGCTTTACGTAATGTATTTGACCGATGGGTAGGTTGGTCTTAGAAAAGCCACCTTTAATTCCGTACTTCTCCTCTTCCCAGAATCTGGTCTTGGTTTGCAGGATAATCTTTGTGGAAGGTCCTGTGAACATGTCTTCCATGGCTTGATGACTTCTTCTGAGGGCCGGCTCCTCGCCTCCCTTGGTTGGCTTATTATTTGGCTCAAACGTAATTTGTCGCAATATGTTGACTTGAGGGGTAACGATTACATCCTGGATTTAAATAAGATACCTCAGCACTTAGAATTGTAAAAAAGTACATTATCATACACAGAGTTTATCTTTATGCTAATAATATATTCTCTTATTTTATGGATTGTGATAGAGTTGACTATTTCTGTGTTTTACTATAGAATTTAAATTTAAAATCATAGCTATACAGTTAAAAATTTTAAAAAATCACGAAAGAAAAGAAAAAAAATAAAATGCAGAAATATGATGTACATAGAGCTTTAACAAATTCTTGTAAACTAACTTGACAATATTTTATCTAAAGGAGGTCTGGCATATAAAAAAAACTAAAGATAATTGTAATTAATTTTACAAGACTGACCCGTGCTTTGTATTTACATTCTTCTGATTCATTTTCAGTCTTGTAGCAGGTTACTATGACATAATCCTTGGAAGGGTCAGAAGTCGAGGAATTATTATACTCTATCTTGCAAACTTGTTGGTTATAACTTAAATCATCAGAAACCAATGGCGTCGTTCGGTTGTGACTGAAGAATGCTTCAGGTAAGCTGTGCATACCACCAACCAAGGTGTGCATATCAGTTGACCACCAGTTTCCCAGATCATCACGGAGGTACTGAACCAAAGATTGATCCAGTTGCTCTGTGTAAGAATACACCGAGTAGCCACGAATTGCATCGTCGGACCACGGCAAAAGGTTTGCAAGCTTGTCAAGGTGTAATGATTTAAGATTCATTGGTTGGTCTATGGGGTTCAATTTTGCCATAATAACATTAACATTGCTCTGCAGAAAGCTTCTCAACGTAAATTGGCTCCAAATGTCAATCCAGCGACGCCAAACAACGATTTCCTCCTCAGGCGTGGTTGTTTCATTCAACCAGGCAATCAATTGATCCGTGACAACGCCGGTTGTTTTGGTGTAATAATCGTCTAAACATTGATAAAAAATGAAGAAATTGATTAAAAGACGTCTTTAATTATGTCCTGAAACATTACCCCACGTAGCATTGGCTTTTATAGTGTCAAGTCAAGCAAGTTTAGAAGAGTTTTGAGACAGATTATAGCTACTAGCTGTTCCTAATGATATAATACATGCCTTAGTACAATTCCTTTACAAGGTCCTAAAGCAGATTGTCTAAAGAAGCGTGTCACCATGGCATTCGTATAGTTTAACCTGCTGCGTAGGGGGTGGCGATTGAATGCCATACGCGCAATTAAAAAATGTTGTCTAAATGCTTGGTTTCTGGAAGAAAATATAATAAAAAACAATAAAAAAATTCGAGTGCATTTGTATCCTGGTTGAATTTTTTCACAATACATAAGGGATTGTTATATAGGTGTTGTGTATTTTAAATTTGATTGGTTCATTCGTAATCACATGACCTTAATAAAATTAATGCAGTGTTTCCCGCCAGGAAACAAGTTAAAAATTGTTTCCCAAAATATGGCATAACGAAATAAAGTGTATTTTTGGACCAGGAACTGGTCCCCACAAGCGGCTAATCTTGTTGTTGTTGTTGTTGTTGTTGTTGTTGTTAGGGGGTGACGCTCTTTAAAAAGGCCTAAGGCTCCGTCAATTCGCATCAGATCGGAATTAAACTTCGCACAACTATCCTTAGCGATATTCCCCAAAGATTGACGGAGTTATAATTTTGATTTTTTTATTTTAAAGAAATCTAGAAGCAACTAAAAATTGTAGCGTAGAAATCCGTATAGATTCTGTATTTATTCCGTATTAATCCGTATAAGGCTCCGTCATTTCGCACCAGATCGTCATAAAACTTCACACAACTATCTTAAAGGTTATTCTCTATCGACTTACGGAGTTAAATTGTTTGTGCTTATATTCTTCAGAAGATTTCATTGTAAGCCATGTCAGATTGTGGCGGGAGGCAAATTTTTATATTATTAATATTCATATACTGTGAGTTCAAGCCAGAAGGTCGTGTATTTTCTTTGTTTTGCACCCAATATATATTCATGACTATAGTATGACCATTGCGTTAAATGCGTTTCTCTCTAGGGCATTACTTATTTTTTATTTATTTGTTTAGGCTTTGCCCAGCATACATATACATAAAAAACGACTATAATGACAGTGGCACGGTGCACGCAACGCCACCTTCTCGCCAGCTACAGCGGCATAGATTAGGACATATATGTGCAACTCACTGAACTCAGTACATTTTAAGTGTTTTTGTATTGAAAGCAGAATGATGAGAATATGTAGAAAAACGACAATTTTAACATAACCGTTCGCAAGATTGCCTAGGTTCATAGATATTTGAAAATTCATCCTGGAGAGAAAAATTGAATCTATACTTCACCAGTTCCTGGTCCAATAGTACGATCGTACTTGTTAATGAAATTGCTGTGTTACAACAAATAGCCGTTGTTCAGTGGTTAGTTGAACTAACCTGTGTTGTCAAAAAGTAAGATGCCTATAAAAAAATCTGAGTAGTTTCAAACAAAAAATCAATTTAAAAACAGTTTAAAGTATAAATAATACCAATATCTTTAACATCGACGCTTCCTGTATTAATTTTTTCCCTCCATTTTGGCCACATGGTGTCGAAATGCTTTTCTTTCCAGGCTAGAGAAAATAAAAAGGATGATTAAAACAAAGGTGAAAAACGTCTTTGGCCAATCAGCGCTTTTGTTGACATTTCTATTATTAACCAATCAGACTCTTTGATTTTACGCTACCTCCGGTGGCACACAAGAAATTTACTAACAGTATAGTATGTTGAATAAAGCCTTCGGGGGGACAGGATTTTGAACTTTTTAGATTAAATACAACGGAATATGAAAAAATATTCATTTATCTAAAAATCTGTCGGCCAGATTTTCGCTGTCGGCCGGTTTTTTGCGTACGTCGTTGTTTAAATGTCGATAGCATTAATACTAGACCTTGAAGCAAAAATCTGGCCGACAAATTTTTAGATAAATGAACATTTTTTCATATTCCGTTGTATTTAATCTAAAAAGTTCAAAATCCTGTCCCCCCGAAGGCTTTATTCAACATACTATACTGTTAGTAAATTTCTTGTGTGCCACCGGAGGTAGCGTAAAATCAAAGAGTCTGATTGGTTAATAATAAAAATGTCAACAAAAGCGCTGATTGGCCAAAGACGTTTTTCACCTTTGTTGATGATTAACGTTTTTGTCGTTTAGAGGATTTATTCAAACGGACATATGATTGCGCGGGGGTGAATTGGTTTAAAGTTGTCCGCCGTTCTGCAATGTACCTTATTACGTAAAAGAGGTAATCTAGAGACCTTAACCTTACCCCATGCAAGAGTGATTTCTCTTCAGTGACATTGACAACACATCAATGTCTCTGCATACCAGTGGCATAATAAACATTACACTAAAATATAGGCGCGAACTAGAGGTAGGCATGCAACACAGTCAAGTGACTATGGTAAATTATCTGGATAATTATTATTCAATTCTCATAGTATTCATAAGTGGAAACATGTCAGTTAATTATTCATATTTCATATCACAGTCCAGTTATTCACAGGTATATAGCTCATTGGTATTTAGGCAAGCCAATGAGAGGCAGCTATTTTGCCCATGTCTGGTAGCCAATACAGCCTTTTGATTGGATTTGATTTTGCCTAGCCATGACGAATTGCTTGGGTCATTATTTAATATTATATTCTTTCATTGGCTTGTTTTTTTGCCTATCTTGGGCGATTTAAACTAATCACTGTGGTTGGTAAGCGTTAGTGATGTTAAGGCCGGCGCACACTAGAGCTATGTGCTTAGCAAAAAGTCATTCGTGGCCATTGGCGTAACCCAGTTGCTCTCGTGTGCGGGCGACTTTTCCGGCGACTTCGGTCATTCGTGCCACTTACGGCAAATATCTAGCATCTTTGATAATTATTATTTTCTGCCTCGCAGGCCAAAATCAGGATTGGATTTCGAAGTTAACTTTTGCTTTTTCGCGTTCGCTTTGTTATTGTGTTATTTCACAACGTCTTCATCGATTTGTAGTGATTTGTACGAGCCATTCGAACGATTTAGAGTGTCTAAACGACTTTCATTCCCGTTATTTATGCGACGTTCGATCTTTGCGTTCCATTCAACAGCTAATATTTATGACGGCAAATCGCTCCGAGCCGAAATTTAGTGCGGAGATATATGTGCCGAAGCACGCTCGTGGTGGTAAGAAAAAGGCTTGCACCACAATAAGTTAACTATTTTTTTTTATTCTATGCTACTCTTGTATATAACTGTGTTCTGCTGTTTTTAGTTTTTAAATCGGCAAACTGATGAATGTCGATCACCAACAAGCATAGCTAGCTATTTATGTATTAAAATATGAATTTAAATACCTCTGCGCTGACCGGGTAAAAATATATGAATGTATAACTTAAATATAATTAAAATATATCGCAAAGACTCAAACTATAAGCGTGTTCACACAGTTACTGTATATCACATTATCACATGTATAAATAATTATGTTTATATGAATTAATATAATTATGCATCATGATGTCGACATTGTACACCCTGCCGTCAGTCTGTGATATAATTGTCTGATACTGATCTAGCGTGATTTAATTTTTTGTTTTTTTAATTTTTTCTTACTTCTCAGTTCTGATGCACTCTCCTCCGCAGAGGCTTTTTGGGTAATCTAACAATAATTGAGAATTATATAATACAATTGAGAATTATATGATATAATTCGTAGTAGCGGGCGGACGGGAGGGAGCTAATAATAGTAGCGGTGAGTGGCGGGCGGACGGGAGGGAGTCGGGCGGTTGCGGGTTGGGGAAAAAAAGAAGGGAAGCCTCTGCCATATAACGTGCGGTTCTTTGGTGTGAAATGCGGTTCTTTGGTTTTGGCGGTTTACTGGTACAATCGATATTATAATGGCTGAGTTCGATAGCGATATAGAAGAAATTGAGCGCTCTTTTCATAATATGAGTCTAGATGGTAAGTATAATATATTAGTTTAATTTTAACAAATGCATAAAATGTTATAATTTACTCAAGTTTATATTAATATTGATGCAAGATTAATTAATATCATTCGATTGCCTTGATATTTTGGCAAGTTTCAGAAGTGAAAGTATTTACATATGTAGTTATGTTAATTTTGCATTGGCTTGCATATATTAAAATCGTCGTCAGCTACAGGCTACTGTATTTATATATTTTTATCGTATATTTTGTTTTGTTTTCTGTTTACACCACTGAATGCAAGTGGTTTACACTATACTGGCAGTTCATTGTATAAATCTGTAAACTACAAATTATTATCCATAATTGATTATCCTGAAATTTGTCATAAATCAGATAATGATGAAGATCTTGGTTGTTTGCCAATGCCACTTGAGAGAGATGATGGTAAAGACCTTGCTTGTTTTCCTATGTCTGCTGAGAAGGCTGGTGATGAAGACCTTGGCTGTTTGCCCATGCCAATACAGAGTGCTGTATTGACAAGTACTCCAAAGAAGGTGAAACAACGGCAACTAGTACCTGTAGCTGGGAAGCATGATTTGACACCAGATTCAAAAAGACAAAATGAGCCACCTTCAAAGATCATGAATATGCAATCTGGAAGTCCTTTGTTAACATCTGGTAATTATTTCATAAATTATTCTATTGTTATGTACTGTATATTGCAAACCCTGCCTTAAACTGCTTGCTTTATTTTAGGTAATTTGACAGTCTGCTGGTAGGCTGGGCGAAATTCCTTACCCCATGTGCTAATACAATGTGCTTCATCTATGATGAAAAAACTCAATCTGTTCTCATGACTAATCTGACTCAAGCAATGTTTCAATTGTTCAGTTACAATAGCTTCTGGGCTAATGAACAAAAACTGATATTGACAATCTGGCTGTTTCAGATTATGTAATATATTCTGTCTTTCATTATCAGTTAGCATTGTGTTGTAATAGCATGTGTTGATTCCACATTGTTGTAGTCTTGCAACTTGGTCACTCATTAACATAATAAGAGGTGATACTACAAATGCCAAGCCAGGTGTCATTAGACAAGGAAGAGTATATATAACTGTTTTACCACCACCTGTTGGAATAATTACAACTGTATCTTCTCCAGACAATATAAACTCAATAGCTTCACCTTGGCCTGGTCTGAATTCTTGATGTCCAAAAACTGTTTGGAGAAACTGCAAAGGTGTCTTACATTCTCGAGAAATTTGCATTTGCAAGCACTTGTCTGGCACAGGTGTTTGATGTCTTGGCAATAACATAGACTGCAATAGATACAAACAAGAAATACTACTTTATACAATTATTTTAAATTATTTGAAATTTTAAATGCCTGCACAATTTAAAGCAACGCCAACGAGTATTCAATTAAAAAGACTAAACTTAAATATCCACATGCTACAGGAACCCTGGCAAGTATTAATGTATGTTGCAAATTTTAAAAACGGTAACTTACCCTCTTAGGGGAAACAAAACATTCAGCATAAATTTTTGCACATGCATCCCAAAGTTTAAAACATTGGCCAAGGTGATCAGTTACACTAGAAGATATTTTAACTCGAACATGACAAGGATTCCCGCTAAGATGTTTTAGAATGCCACTGTGTTTCAAATATAAGCCATATAATTTTGCTGCCTCCCGTCTCGTGCTTGCCATAACTTTAAGAGTAGTCATCTTGTTAGCCAAATTTTCAGTAATGTGTTCCACCGAAAACTCCTCGTACTTTTGCAAACTGCAACAGTTCACATTCTGAAATATAAATATTTTAATAGATATTTATATTTTGCCTATTGTGTGCGCAAAGATCAGTTTGTGCAGTTGTGGTTTTGTGCTTTTACTGCTCATAAAAAAAAATTGACAAAATTACAAAAGTATAAAGAGATAAACATTAACTTACTGCTTCGCCGCGAATCTTGGCTAGTTTTTGCAATACACTGAAAGTTTCCTGCCCATGCAAGTCTTGAAAGCAACCTACATTCTTTAACAAGTCTTTCGTCAAGGGCCATATGTCGATGTTTCACCCGAAAATGTTGAATTAAACCTGCATCTTCTAAATAAAATTTTATTTCTTTCGTATTTTCATAACATTTAGAACAGATTACTTTACCGGAAACATTCGCTTCTTGAAATGGTCTGGTAGTCAACGACAAAACATTCTTTGTTTGATTTATAGTCTCATCCATATTTATTTTGAAAAATATTCATGAGATGATACGTAATTATAATATGATATGTAATTTGACGCCATATTGGAAACATTATATGGCAGAGGCTTCTCAAATTTCATTTTTCAACCCGCAACCGCCCGACTCCCTCCCGTCCGCCCGCCACTCACCGCTACTATTATTAGCTCCCTCCCGTCCGCCCGCTACTACGAAATATTACATATAATTCTCAATTGTATTATATAATTCTCAATTATTGTTAGATTACCCAAAAAGCCTCTGCGGAGGAGAGTGGTTCTGATGCATGCTGATGAGCCCTAATATATGGGGTTTGTTTTTTTGTTAATAACCACCACAGTATTATCATCATGAATGACATCATGGATCACGCCATACGTGACGTCATTGATGACGTCATAAAGTTTTGAGAAAGGTAAGAAAAATCCTAGATGCACGCCCACAAGGGTACGACTTTATGATTTGCAGTAGCTACTGTAAGTCAATTGTTTTTAATGTAACATCACCTACTCGACGTTAATTCCTTGAATCCGTAAATATTGGAAATGACTTTTTTATCAACATTTGGAAACTTTTTGATGGGTAGTTGAAATTTAGTGATATATCCATCCGTTAGAAAATGCGCTCTATTGTTTGGTTCATCCACACCACCAGGTAATCTCATCGCTCCGGCTAGAAATAAAACAAAACTTAACGTTTGGCATGGCAATATAAGAAAGGAAAAATTTCTTTATAATGCATTCCCTTCTCTTGAGCACCAGATTGACAAAATTAGACTAGTTTCGCAACAGTACGACTTTTGCACACGTCTTTTAAGATTTACAATACAAAAAATATAGAAAGATGGCTTGGGGCTTGTTTCAAATAGTTCTAAACTTCATCTCAAACCACAACTAAGGAAGTGGGAATTTCAGTCTTTGTATTCTGCGTCCGGTGCAAGGATTAATTAAATATGGGAAATATCAGGAAGATATATAGTGACCGAACAATGTTATTACGTTCTATAATATAACATTTATAGTACGCGTGTGCTGATTGGTCGAGAAGTGTGATTCTATAACTATATTTAAAACTATTTATGCAAAAAATAAAGAAGAATATCGCTCGAAAAATATACTTGACGTTCATAAAAACATTCAATGGGATATTGACCCATACCTACCTTCGCCATATAGACCAGGTGCAAGGCCTGCATCTTCCCCATAAGTGAAAACTCTTCCACCATAACGATCAGTCTGCTCCAGGATTTTCACTTTTAGCCCAGCTCTCTTCAACTCATACGCTGCGGCAAGACCAGCCATACCAGCTCCAACAATGATGACGTCATATTCCACATCCTTTGGTGGAACATATTTCTGGGATGCGCCCATTGTTGGAGGAGATGGGCCAGATGGACAGTCGCCGTATTCCAAATAGGCCGCATTCAATCCGTTATTCTGGATTTTCAGCAAGAAATTCTTTAAATAATTACTCTGCTGAATAACTTTGTTGGTTTTTTCCTCCGGCAATCTCTGCGTAAACGGTATCAATCCCGTTATCAGATGAAGATTGTGTTCAAGAAAAGATGTTGCCATTGTCCTAGAAAATATATAATAGAAAAAAGACTCTCTTACTACAATGGAAGAAAAAAATGTATTTGCTGTAATTTGGTCGGCTAATCAACTAAAACACAGCCGATTCATTAAATTAATATCAACTTTGACCTTTTATAATAAACAGAAAACCTTGAACTTTTAGACTATAATCTCGCAAAGCATATTTGGGCAACGCGATTTGAAAAATTTACTTATAGACAATTTATCACAACCAGCAGGGGCGGGTGTATGAAGCCCGTTTAGGTTAAACGGTGGATTGATTGAAAATAGAAAGCAAGAATTTTAATTTAATTTAATAATTTAATAATAATATTTATACAGGAGTGTCCAGTTCAGCGAAGGCTGGTTTAAATGGAGTCCTGATTGACCGCCATAGAGTTACACTACATATACATTTACAGTTTACACTTCTACTTAACATACATACAAAGATAAAGTATGAAAGTATACACTAGATTAATTAGTATATCTGATTTCTATAATGTTTCTTAGTACCCATTTTAAATTTTACAAAATTTGTTTCGTTTCGAAATTCTTGTGGCAACAAATTCCACGTGTTAGCTCCATTTATTCTAAATGAGTTTTGATATTTCTGTAAACGAGCACGAGGTGGTCTCAGCATATCTCTATGTCTTGTATTGTAATTGTGTACGTCAGAAGAAAAGCTAATTCATCTAATAAATATTCTGGCTCCTAAATTGTTTAAACATTTGAAAACCTGTAAACTTATCTGATACGATCTTCTAAATTGTAATGACGGCCAAGAAAAGGTGGCATCTAAGTTAACTTGATCTAAATGATTAACCCCCTCAATGACTCTGGCAGCTCTACGATGCAACTTGTCCAGGTATCCCTTGTTAGTCTTTCCGCAATTATCCCAGACGGCGCAACAGTAGTCATAGAGGGGCAAAATCATGGCATTATAAAGTGTGATACATGCCTCTCTAGGAATAACCTTTCCAGCTCTGTGTAACATGCCAATCCTCGATGAAATTTTGGACGCCATATAATCGATATGGTCATTCCAGGATAAGCATGGATCAAGCACAACCCCGAGGTTCTTAAATTCATAAACCCTATTAAAAGTTGTTTCTTTAACTTTGACTGTAAAATCATTTACTTTGGCTAACTTCTGATGTGTACTAAACAACATTATTTTGGTCTTAGAGTAGTTCAAAAAGAGAAAATTACTGTCGAGCCAATTGATTACATGAGTGAGATCATTAGTTAAACAAGATTCTATGTTTTCGACAGATTTACTTCCGAAATAAAAGACAGTATCGTCAGCATAGAGTTGTATACTACAGTCTTTGACTACGTCGGGAAGGTCGTTTATATAGATTATAAACAATAAAGGCCCCAATATGGAACCTGTGGTACACCATGTAAAATAGGTTGAGGTTCAGATACTTCACCATTGATAACGACACTTTGAGTTCTATTCGTTAGATAGGTATTACACCAAACTAGTGTAGAATTTGAGAATCCTAACGAAGATAATTTTGTTAGCATAAGGTTGTGATCTAAAGTATCAAAGGCCTTACTCAGGTCAAAGAAAACCATTCCGGTAAGTAATCCTTTGTCCATATTATGAGACACCTGGTTAGTCATTTCTATTAAACTAGTGGTTGTTGAATGGAGAGGTCGAAATCCTGACTGGTAGGTGGAGAGTATTTTGTTTTCATGTAGGTACATATAGAGTTTATTGTGTATTGCTCGTTCCATAATTTTCATAAACACCGGTAGGACCAAAATTGGCCTATAATTTGAAGGGTCGCTTTTAAGGTCTGACTTATGTATTGGTGTTATAAGAGCATGCTTCCATTCTATTGGTATAGCTCCTTCAGCGATAGATCTGTTCATGAGTAATGTCAGGGGTCTTGCTAGTTCTCTAGCACCGTCCTTTAATAGGCGCACCGGAATATTCTTCAAGCCAGTAGACTTCATTGTTTTGATGTTATTGAGGCTCTCTTCCACAAAATCTTCCGTAATGGAGGAAAGTTATAGTTATTTCTTAATTAAATTTCGTACATAATTAGACATCCAGTGAGTACACCAGGTGGGAAGGGAGGTACCTTCCTTAGCTCCTCCTGCTCACGCAGAAATTATATTCTTATATCGCAGTCTTTCGTTTTATCTCACTTGTGTTCTTAGAGGAAGATAGCGAAGGTCCAAAATACCAGAATGTTGTACATTCGACCTTGGTTTGAAGGAATACACTAGATATATATATATATAGTATGATTTTTCGACCTTGGTAAGATTGAATACACCGGAACGTGGTATAATTATTCGACCTTTGTAAGATACCGAAATTTGGACCCCCCAGAGATTGTTCAAAATATCACACAAGAGAGAAAAAATGCTGGATACGTATTTATAGAACTGAGTAGAAGTTTCGCGAAGCAGAAAATTCTTTGGTTCTCCAGAAAAGCATATAATTGTATGCATGGGGATAAATGTCAAATTACTATACCTGTAGGCCTAATCGAGTGACTCGAATATTTAATAATCACAGAAACACATATCGGGAAACCGAAATGCGTCATTATATCTTATAAGTTATTCCCTGTGGGCTGTGGAGTCACAAAGAAATTCAGTCATGAGATCTCAGTTTAGCTCCTCCCAATTTACGTCAATGTAATATTTTTACTGCATCAATTAACGGGTTCGTGTTCCTGTTTATCCCAACCAAACGGTATAGTATCTTCGTAAGTGAACGCTAACGAAATGGTGCTATGAGCTGCCACGCATGTAGTCAGAAGGAATGATTTATAGACTGTCTCAACCGTTGAACACTAAATTCTTTGTTTAAGTTCATTATTTTCCTCCTTTTCATCGTATGTTATCTCTCATCTTATTTGCATTCGAGTCGTATCCTTATTTTGTCTTAGCTATAAGTTCGAGTTATGAAAGAGCCTTTAAACATACGTTATGAGAATTATAATAAGACATGAAATATCCACACAAAGGCAAAAAATTAAATGTACGTAATTGGCAAAAAATAAGACTATATTTATTTTATAGTCTCTGGAAAGGTACTGAATAAAACACGATAAAAATAGTAAAGATCGAATATAGCAGAATGAACAAACGCGAAATTTAAATACGAAATTGTCGGCGAAGTACAAAAAATATGACCATTTAGTCTCTCAGTAAAACACGACAAGAAGTAGTGAAGATCAATTGTCGAATATACAAGAATATTGTATGATTATTTGCAATGACCTTGCATGGTAAGATTGTTGAATACACCAGAATGTGTAATATTTAACTTTACTAAGCTCGAGTACACCAGAATATGGCATAATTATTCTACCTTGGTGAGCTGGCGAATACCAGAATGTTGTATATTTGACATTGGTAAGTTCAAATACACCAGAAAATATATAGCTCTAATTATTTGACCTTGATAAGCTTGAATTCACCTGAATGTATAGTATAAATATTCGACAATGGTAAAAATACCGAAATATGGACCTCCCAGAGGTGCTGCAGAATTCAAAATATTAATGTTCAAAATATCACACCAGTCAGTGGCCCTGATCCTAAATAAACGTTTATCCTTCTAGCAATGTCTGGTTAAAAGACTCAAAGACAAGGTGCTGTGAGCTGCTATGTTATCGCCATTTATAGGCCTTACTTAGATGTCGAACTCTAACGTCTAACTCGTCTTTGTTAAAAATTTGCATGTGATATTATTTTCACAAAGTTAATTAACTGTAATAGACGGATACACATACAGATCCTAAATAGTTTGTTATATAATCAGTATAAAATTATATCAGTACTTGTAACATCATGAAACATCTGCACCTGAATTCTGAAAGTTTTTAAAATTGAAGTAAACAGGAAGAGCGATAATTATTAGGAGAGCGAAATTAAAGGTCACATGCTTGGACGAATTTTCATGTGTGGCGAAGTTTAGTGGAGCACAAAATAGTGTAGTTTAGGTCTCCAGTGAATTTGAAGAGATTCTAATTGTATTCAGGGGGATAAATGTCAAATAAGTATAGATTAGAAAATTGTACATTAATTTATACTTAGGTCGTTTTACAATGTGCAATATTAGCAATTCCTTTATGCTGTAGGTCTGATTGAGTTACTCGATTATTTTGTTATGGCAGAGAGACATTTCGGGAAACCGAAATGCAACCTTTATCTCAATTCACAAAGAAATTCAGAAAGATTCGCAATTAGTTTAGTCATCCACCTTAAATGTATGCAGTTGATTCGGAAACTTTACAAAAAATGATATAACAACGATTATAACATTGATATTAAACAACACTAGCTACATACTTCAACAGGATACACCCATATGCTTAGACGGGCAACATGACGGGAATGAGTTAATATTCAACATGAATTTCGCGAGTGAAATTAATTTCTTTATGCATTTATACTAATTTAATAGATATGCGTCCATTATATCGACTATTTATATCGTCGATCGTTTAAAATTCCCCTATATATATTATTATACGCTTAATGTATGCTCCCGAGGGAAATAGTGAGTTTTTCTCCTGTTGAATGTGTAGGTCCTGAGGTTCACCAGCAGCCTTGTCTGTAGGGATTCGAGAGCGAAATTGGAATGAATCGAACACTGATAATCTGACATATAAATGAGGATAGCGGAATAGAACGTCGTATGCTTGAACGATTTCTTAATTAAATTTCGTACATAATTAGACATCCAGTGAGTACACCAGGTGGTATGGGAGGTACCTTTCTTAGCTCCTCCTGCTCACGCAGAAGATATATTCTTATATCGCGGTCTTTCGTTTTATCTCACCTGTGTTCTCAGAGGAAGAGCTACTGGTACAAGGAAATACTGCATAGTAATACAATGACTGAAATTTCAGGTATGCGTTGAAATTCTACCTATATATTAAATTAATAGTTATTCGGTTTAGCTATGGCATTAATAAGGTTTACGTGCATGTAGTTATTGACTGTAGGAGTTAATAAGCGATATACGGGCTT